AGGCCATCGCCAATTTGCGTCAGCGTGATGATATTATCATCAAACCAGCTGATAAAGGCTCTGCCACTGTCGTAATGGACATTAAATTCTATGAAGAGGAGTCCTTAAGACAACTAAGCAAACCTCTTCACTATCGGAAGCTCACAGAGGACCCCACTCCGGAAATTTCTAAGGAAGTGGAAAAATCTGTATTAAAGATGGTTAAAAAAGGTTCCATCGATCCCAAAATTGGACCCCATCTCATCCAGGTCGATCTGGCACCAGGACGTTTCATANNACGGTCATTACCTTCAAATTCATGGCACAGCGATGGGCACCAAAATGGCTCCATCTTTTGCTAACTTATTTATGGGACAATTTGAGGCCAATTTCCTGTCGTACATTTTCGTACATGTAATTGTATGTTGTCATGGCGAGATAGATTATACTGACAAGTCGACATAATACATATTGTATGTTGTCATGGTGAGATAGATTATCTTGACAAGTCGACATAATAGAAGTTGTATGTTGTCATGGCAAGATAGGTTATCTTGACAAGTCGACATAATAAAAATTGTATGTTGTCATGGCGAGATAGATTATCTTGACAAGTCGACATAGTAAAAATTGTATGTTGTCATGGCGAGATAGATTATCTTGACAAGTCGACATAGTAAAAATTGTATGTTGTCATGTCGAGATCGTAATGCCACTAATAATACTTGTCTGTTTTTTTTATACAAAAATATTTATTCTATAATATCAAATCAACCAGTCATTCAGCTACATGTAGTTGTATGTCGACTTGTCAAGATAATCTATCTCGCCATGTCGACATGATATGTATATTATGTCGACTTGACAACATAATTATCTTGACAAGTCGTCAAGTCGAATGGCACTTAGGTGCTTCCGTAATAATATATACAGTACATGTAGAAAATAAATTGTGAACACTGTAAGCCTACCTCAAGTAGTTTATGGTATGTTGCCAATAGGTCTGTCCACTCTTTTTCTAGTAGAGTTAGGTTTTGAGAGCAAAGTGCAATTTGTAGTTCTGTTAGATTAACACCCTCAACGACATCGACTACCAAACTTTCGATAACCGCCACATCTGAGCAAATCTCTTTCAAAGGATCTTCATTCTCAAGAAGTGCCATAAACTTAAATAAAAAAAACACTTGAAAGAAAACGTTGCATTTGGGTTTGTTCACTTTGAAAAGTGAATCTAGCTCTGGTCATGCTATCACATTTTATGTAACACATTTGTGTGATGTGTCCATATGATGATGATGATGTCATGATTATGATATGCAAACATGACATTCATTTGTCAAATAAAATTATTTTGATAATATGGACAGAGCTTTATAGTATACCTATCAATTTATTTGATCGTAATGCCACTAATAATATTTGTCTGTTTTTTTTTTACAAAAATATTTATTCTATAATATCAAATCAACCAGTCATTCAGCTACATGTAGTTGTCTAGCGATGGAGAAATAATGATTGATTGATTGACCAATCAATCATCTAATAAACCTACCAACCACCAAACAACCAATTTAATAATAATAATAATAATAATAATAATAATAATAATAATAATAATAATAATAATAAGATTAACAACAACAACAATAGTAATAATAATAATAATAATAATAAAAATAAATACTGTACTTTTATATAACGCCGAATCCATCTAACATAAGACAATAAGGGCGCTTGATATGTTGACTAACCATTCAATCAACCATCAAAGTCACCAAATTTCAAATTCAAATTCAAATGTATTGTCCAAAAAGGAAATTACATTGAGAAAAAGTCATTGCTTAAGAATGACACAATTACAGTATCAAAAAAAAAAAAAAAAAAAATTGTATAATCCACAATTAATTCTTTTGTTTTTGATCCGTTTATATTTAAGTAGTTGTCTTTTCACCATTGAAAGAAATCTGTTACAGTATTAAAATAATTAAGACAACTGTCTTTAATGAGTCCAATACAATTAATCAATCAATCGATCTATTAAACAAGCAATCAGCCAGTCAATCAACTAGCAAGTTGGTCTGTCGTTTGGCCGCCAGTTTGGGTGTCTGGATTGGATTGGATTGGATTTATTCGGTGTAAACACCAAGGATAGCCCACGAAAGTCTAGAATAAGACTTATTTCCAGTGGGGTCCTTCTGGTGGTTATTGGACAGTACACCGGGAGACAATCCCCTACTCTGTTCTGAAAAGTGTATCGTCCTTTAACGTGCATATGGGCCATAAATGCACACCGGACCAACGACTTAAACGTCTCATCCGAAGGAAGATGCGCTATTGTAAATTGTATTTTAGCCCTCTAGCTGAAACACAAGTAGAGACAGCGATGGTAATTGAACCGGTGACCTAGAAATTTTCATGGTTCAGCGCACACACAGTGGCTACCACCAGATTAGCCGACAGAACCAAGCTGCTTTTTCGGCAGGGGGTAAATTTTTCAGTGAATGGGCCTCGTGAGAATGAGAGTGAGTGAGTTAGTCAACCTATCGGTAGTATTTGATACTTAATCAATAAACTTACAGCTTCCGTATTGATCTCCGTACCCAACTGCAGAGCAATTATTTCTGGGCTTAGGTCGAAGATGATCTCAAGATATTCTGCAGTTGCAGGTGGAAATATGTCATCAAATGTTAAGTTACGACCTGAAATCATAAGGAATGAAAAACGATTAAACAATGTTTTTGATTTAATTTTGGTTTATTTAGCAATCAGAGTAAAATACAGAAGCAATGCAAGACAAGGTAAATAATGTAATATACAAGTAAAAAAGAAGAAAACTTTTAACATTTTCAGAGATTATTAAATATTTAAAGACAAGATTATAATGTCAACAATGTGAAAAAAGTATAATAATAATCATTTGACCGATTTAAAATTCATTTAAAATAGACTTATAGCCAATTAAAAATTCACTTTTATAAAAAGAAAACTTGCAGAACAACAGACATACAACTTGCAACATGAGAAAACTTTAAGTACCTAATTATTCCAGAGGTGACTTTGAGGGAATTTTAAATTAGTTCAAAGATTTTTTTTTTGTTTTTTTTTTGTGATAAAGAGCATGTATATTTCATCAAGTTTTTTTAATATTTAAAAATAAACTCAATTAACATAAATGTACAACATAATTCAAATTCAAACTGATTTTTCAAAAGAAATATTTCAAGTGAAACTTTTGTACCTGGTAGGTCTTGAATCTCACCGTCTAGGTAAGCTATTATCTGCTGCGTAACCACCAACGCTCTCTCTATTGCTTCCCAGTCATCTAATTCCATAAGAGCATTTAGTAAACTCTGTAAACTAGAAGAATATATATAAAACTTCAACACAATACCTGAAATAAACTCATGCTGTTTTGTTAAAGGCAATATTCACTATACTATTTAATAATACAGAAAATAAATACATGTAGTGTTTCTAATCTCTGTCTTTTTAGTGTGTCATGATAGGCCTAATTGTTAACTTTTCAAAACATGCAGCAAACATAAAATGACAATGCATTAGTTTTATGTCGGTACTGGCTCTGTACTGTAGCTGCTGAGAGTATCCAGGGGCTAGCCAAAAGCTTCCAATTTCAAAACCAAAGAATTACCTTCCAATTTCAAAACCAATGAATTACCTTTCTAGATCTTTCTGCATGTTTTGCATGTCTTCTTGCTGGGTAAGCCTGGTAATCCATTGTTCATATACACTTGAAAGTTCTGTAAGTGTTGTTTCTAGCCATACCATATCAACGTCAAACTTTGATGGGTTCTTTACTAATTGCTGTATTGTTTCTGATAGCTCCAATGCCGTAGCAAAAAGGGCTGCCAGGTCTTCATCCTGTTTGAAGCGATTTACATACATATCATCAAAGGGAAGCTTATAACATATACATTCCAAGATTACAGGCAAATAATGTAAGCTTCTGTTAATGAAACTACTTTCCCGAACACTATTTTTTAATTGACTGCTAATAATTTACAGTAGAAAGTAAGCAAATAAAATATTCAATTTATTGTGCAAGTGCTTGAATCAATGCAGAATTATGCTGTGACGTATTGTTCTCGTTTGCGCGACACATTAAAAAAGTATCTTATATAATTTATATATATATATATAAGGTATATATATATAGTATAGTTTAAGACTTTGAAGTAGTTTAAGGTTTCTTTCACCTAAAAGTCGCAACTCCCTTACTTGAGCCAGCGTCGGTAGTAGCCGAGGCTTATCCAAGGTGGAAGATACTGGAACCAAAGATACTAGAAATACAAGATAGAGTTCTCGCATTGTAAAAATGAGGCGGAAGTCGTGCCCAACGTAGGCGGCGCCCTTCTTTTTAACCATACAAGTTTCCTATACTTCGTGCCCAACGTACAGGGCGCCCTTCTGTTGCTAAGTATATCCAGACGCAAAAGGCGCCCTTCCTTTTCCACTAATGGAGGAAAACTTTTTCACTAAGAGTGCGTCCGGCCATGCGATTCTGCGCTTTATTGTGGTTTTATTCTTTACTGATTCATGGTTATGCTTTAATTGTTTTGTGTATTATGTGGATAATAGCAACGTTTTCTACCGCCACCAAGGAGGTTATGTATTCACCAATGTCACTGTTTGGGTGTCTATTCCGCCACACGACACCACACCGACAATCAGCAGACGGCGCGCCGTCTCGGACTGTCGGTGTGGCTGTCTCTTATACACATCTAGAAGTTTTTTTAGATCCAGCTGTAGGGGGCGTCCCATTTTTCGTATTCCCACCATGCATTTCGGTGGAACACGGTGGAACACTTTTTTTGTGTGGAGAACTCTATCTTGTATTTCTAGTATCTTTGCTGGAACCCAGCAAACTCTGCGTACCTCTGCGTACACGGTTGTGGTGGAGACGCCGTCTCAACATCGGGAGTGCGCCTTGCTTTCCCTTTCATGTTCGCGGTTTGTTTTTGCCAAGTTCTTTCCAATCTGACTTCGGGTCTGTATGCTGTCAGCGCCTTTAGATGATTTTATTGCGGAATGCGCTCTACAAATATCCTACCATGTAGTTGGATTTGTATCGCATGTTTATACCGAAGTCTCAGAGCGCTCGTGGTGTGGACTAGCTCGTATAATAACTCGCTACTCCTCAAAGGGTCTCTTCGTGAAGTGTCTGAGCTACCCAATAAACCGGTACCAACGATCTATTGTTTGTCCACAACTGGGGCCGGCTGTAGGAACCAGTAGCCTACACCGGGGTAACCCCATATTCGTCTCGAAAGATGTACTGGATTCTTTAAAGTGCACAGGAGCCAAATTGTGTACACTGGCATACGGTTTTATATTCCTTATCCGATAAGAATTCTTCCACCACCAGAAACATAGGCGACCGTGCCGTCCAAACCAGCGCCGATAGGGTTGTAGGTTGCGGCGCCCCTGAATTAACCGCTCGGTCATTCGAATTCTATGAGCTGTTGGCTACCTAAAAACCGACTTACCTCATTGATTTCATCTGTTATACCAAAAACATGGAGTAGTTGATCTTGCAGCGCTGTTAAATTAATACTACAGATAGCTTGTTCAACCTCTCCAAGATCAGTCATGGATTCGGAGGGCAAGGTGAAATATACACTAAAGTCACCTTCCTCACAAATGACCGTGAATGGCTCCTCCATCATAAGCAGTTCGATAAACTAAGAAAGAAACTGATATTTAGACACGTACATACGTAGAGTTTTTAAAGTCAAAAATGTTTACCAGAATAAATCCTCTGGTAGTTGCAACTGCCATAAGCATGTTGAAACGGAGGCCATATAACAATTGCGTAAGTTTTATGAGCAGAATTAATAGTACGCATATTAATTCTTCACATGCTCTGTTAGAGGTATTTGTTTGTTTTTTAAGTCTGGCCTACCGATCTACAACATACACGTGGACCATTCCTTTAAGCTCTGGCAGTTGGATATTTAGTACTACAAAACGACAACCTAAGCGTAGGTGATGTGTGATTATGGGACGAGAAGGTGTATTGCACCGGACCTGGCCCTGTTCTGATTGTCACTCTGGAATAGTCAACTGAAACTACAAGATGGCTTAGGCCTATTGAATTTGGCCTACTTGAGGCTTAAAGCATAAGTGACCAACAAATAAAAAAAAAAGACTTTTTAATATACTCTTAATCTGCACATTATAAGTCTTAAAATAATGGGTCATTTTCTAGAATCGAATTCAATATTGCCAAAGTTAAGAGTAAATGTATTAAGGCTTCTCAGGTATACAATACTGCAACATTCTTATGCTAATTAGTCATTTAACGTCTGGCGACAGTACGCTGGTTCTTAGATGGCAAGTCTCATTTTGGTAAAATCAAAATCTGGGAAGGGTCTGATATCCAGATATCCAACTTCCAGGTACAAATAATTGTGTATTTTTATGCCTAATGTAGTTAAAAAAATGTACATACTTTAAAAATTATTAACCTATTATATGTTATTTCCTTCATTTTGTGTTTTTATGCATCTATGAAAACAGTTAATTTCAATTGAAACATTAGTAATGAAAATAGATATGATTTTGTTACTTCGCAGGGGCAGCGCATGAGTGTTTAGATGTATGTTTTCAGAAATAATAAATGAAGTATTTTTATTTTATCACATTACCTTATCTGAAGATATAGTCAGACTTAAGAAAACATCAATGATCTCGGGAAGAATGTCTGCAAGTTCGAGAAAGTCTCTGATCTCCGATTCGTCTACAAACAGCGATTCGAGTTTTGGAAGATCAATAGTGGTTCCTATTTAAATAAAAATAAGATAATACAAGTATAGGATGGCTACATTTCTATAATGCAAACATTTTAAACAATAACGATAGTGAACATTCGATCCATTTTCCAATTCATTCCTGAAGCCATTATATAGAAAACTGTGATTAGCTTATCTGTTGTTTCATGTTTACATTTAACATGTGTTAGAAATTGTATTACCTCAGCCCAACCATGGTGGGGTTGAGGTGATATATAGATCTTCCACCTACGAAAGCACCTCCGGACCCCCTCTATTTTGAATTTCTGGATCCGCCACAAAATTGAAAAAAAAAAAAACGCCAATAGATAGGCCGTTTATTATAACATGAAAGATAAATTACCATTAAGCTTAACGAGCTGTTGATTTAATACGGTATTGACATGAACAGCAACACTCAAATAATTGTGGAACTCCTTATACCAAGATTCGTTAGAAAACAGCATAGTAAGTTGCCCGGCCATTTGTTCAGTGCTGAAAAAGAATAAGATTACTACAATTACCAAACTATATACTGATGATGGATTATAAATAATAATAATAATAATAATAATAATAATAATAATAATAATAATAATAATAATAATAATAAATAATAATAATAATAATAATAATAATAATAATAATAGTAATAATGTTGTTATTGTTATTTTATTCTGTTCAATGTTATGAATGTATTATGCAATAAAGAAATAAATTTAAAAAAAGAAATAATAATATAATAATAATAATAATAATAATTATAATAATTATTAATAATAATTAATAAAAAATACAAATCATAAAATTATTTGTATAGGAAAACGCTTACTCTAGAGCATTTGTCGAAATTTCTTCAAGCCAATTTTCAGCCACAGTTGTTAGTTTTGCCTGTGTTGTTTCAAGCCATTCCTCATCCAGAGTTATACGGGGAGGATTTGAAAATAATTCTGCATATGCTGCATTTGACTGCTCTTGGATCAGCAATGTTTCTGTCAAGTTGTACGGCGGGGGTACTATACTTGTGTTCATCATGAGAAATATCTGTATAATAAATATAAAGTGATTTAATATTTGTGCTGTATTTGATATGTATTACCTTATTTATTCAAATAAACGCCCCGCTTTGAATAAACACCCCATCCAGAACTTAATCTGGAATAAACGCCTCCTTGGATTAAACGCTCATAGATGGGCGTTTATTTTTGTATCGAATAAACGGCCACTAAATGACTGTAAACAAAACTAATGGAAGCAACATCATTTTAATAATGTTTTACACCAATAGAATCACATATTTTTTTGTTTTCAAATAGGTTGGAATCAATAAGTCTTTATCTTCACGCGGTAACACATTTTGACGGTAATTGTGTGTCGTAGTTATCCATTTACAATGCAATTAAGGGGCGTTTATATACGTATCCATATTACACCAAATTAAATAAACGCCTCCCTCGAATAAACGCTCCTCAAAAACTCTTCTCAACAATAAACGCCCAGGGCGTCTAATAGAATAAATACGGTATATCATCAGCTTGGCCTCAAAGCTCAGGTCTTGGATTCAAATCCTTATCTAGCGAGGAACATAATCTATATTCGCAGTTTGTTATATTAAAATGTAATCACAAACTTACCTGGTGCATTATCTCATCCAGGTTAACTATTTCTGCTAGTTCTGTTATGATTAGGGAAACATCAATTGCACATAACTGTTGTTCTACCGCATGAACGTTTGTCGTTGACAGATCGGATAGTGCAAAATAGCTGCTAAAGTTACCTGTCTCGCATAGATGATGAAATGGAAATGGTGTTGAAAGGAACGTCACCATCTAATAATTAAATTTTCGTAAAATTATTATTATAATATTAAATATACATGACATATTCTTAATATGAATAATATATTATATTCATAATATTCTTCATTATGTTTAGTGAAACACAATATATAATACAAGACAAACAACGTTATATAGGCTTACAAATGAATCATACACATAATGATGATAACATTTTACGGTCCGCAGACGATTAATAATGGAAATTCAATGGGACAAGTTTTTTTTTCTTGACCCAAATGATGGTCCTGTTCCTTTACATATATGTTATTTGTTATCTTGACCATTGCTGAATAAATGCTATATTGACTTAACTTGATTTTAGAACAGCATATGATATAAAAATACCTGATATTTCATACATTTACTAGGTTTTATAACTTGTAGGTCCACATTGATATTGTACAATGGAATGATAAAGTGTGTAACATAATAGTGTCCTAATATTATAGTGACGGACATGTTTAATAGTATACATACTTTAGCGGGATCCATTGTTAAACTGAGTAGAAGATCAGCGACTTCCGGTACAATGTAAGTCACTTTTATTAACTTTCGAGTTTCAGTTGCATTAACAAGAATGCCTTCCAATGTTGGGATACGGATTTCAAGTCCTGTAATGTATGAAAAATGTATTTTTCGTAAGAATGAAGATAAGTTGGTGTTTCCGGATTGATTTTTATAACACATGAAACGAGGCAGATGTCATATTCATAATGAATAACGTATGAGAATTAGGCCTATTTAAGCTACTACAAACCTACCATACAGCATTCGAATGAACTTAATTTGGAGTGACGTCATGTAATTGTTGTAATGGAGATTTCTCAGTGTAGCATAATATAAGCTGGTGTGGTTGCCGATAAATATTGCAATCAGTTCCTCGATATTAAACATACTGTATGATGGAGAATGGGAAATATTCACAAATTTATATCGATAGTAAAATTAAATAAATATGATAAACTAGTGGCATCAAAACATGAGTAATGTAAAGCCCTTTATTTTTACGATTTTACTATTTGAAATATTTCGCGGCCTTTTACAATTTCCTGTCTTTTTTAACATGATGAAGAAACCTACAATTATGTGTTATGATTTACATAATCTATTGGATCGATATAAGTAATTGTAGGCACGCACGCACACGTTGAATAATAAACTTTATACTTAGGCCCAAAACTAGTTAAAATACGATATACGTAATCATACAATTAAGACAAATTTCCCACACCCGGACACCAAATAATATAAACGAGGAGTAATGGGTAAATAAAACTTGGTTTTGTGTTGCAACGTATCCATTCGTTAATTTTTTTTAAAGAGAAGCCAATCTAATAGTGACCTTAGAACGGTCGCCAAAAGGACATACATCGAATTTAAATTGAAAAAGGTTGAAATTATGTTAATTATAGACACAATGTATACTTTGACTAGCCTAGTTTTCCGCTAGCAGGAGTCAAAGGGGGAAAATGACCCCCCCGTCGGAGACAGCAAGGTCGTCGGGGAAAATCAAATCTCGAGGGCATTACTAAGCAGTAAAATTTTAGGGATTAAAAAGTGGTAGCGCCAGGTCTTATTCGATAGGAAGCTGGTACCTCCGACAGGCGGATTAGTACGCTCCGACAGGGGGACTAGTACACCCGACATTTGAACTTGCATGATTTTCTATCAACTTTTTTTTTTCTAATAAAGAATTCCATAATTCCACAAAATAATATTATTTTTAATACAAAATTTCACCGACAAGTTTTTCTTCCCCGACCGGGAGGCAGTGGGGGAGGGTGATATGCTTCCCCGACGCTTCGGTTCCAACGTTCGGGTGTGGACTCCCTTGTCGGAGAGCTTGGACCCAACTTGTTCGAAGTGGAGTTTCGAAGTAAAGCAAGAAATCAAGTTGTCTTTACCCAGTACAACTCGTTTGTATTATTCGGTGGTAAGTGTTTCTCTGTATTACACGTACCTCATCATATTTGTCGGATCGTATTCTGGCACCGTATACACCAAAATTAAATCCAGTAATTCGTTAAGTGTCAAATTGTATCGGCTTTCGATTTCTGTAAGTATTTCAGGATAAATCAGTAGATTTCCCACAAGCATTTCACAGCCATGCACAAATTCTTCAAAGGAGATGCGCTCTCCACTATAGTTTGATGGCATTTCAAGGAAGAGATTTTCAATCTGATTAAATAAAAAAAATGTCTTATCAAAACAATAATAGATGAGACCAAATGATAAAATATCTTATAAAATGATGATGGTTGTAAACAGGCCTCTTACAACAATCCAGTCACTTAAAATAAAGAAAATACAACAGAACATGAGCACATAGCATGAACACTTTCCACGGTAAAGAGGAAATCCCACATGCATTAAATATACTTTTTTAGATTAGATGGTATCTATCCCGATATACCAATTTTCTAGTTGCAGAATACAGGATAAGGGTAGAGTTAAACAACTAAGTTTAAATCTTTTACATTGCAAAGTACCGCATAGACCTATAGAAAATAGAATAAACTGAAATTGGTAACTTTTATAAAAACAATACAAGTGTAATTTAATAAGCCTGCATACCGTCATTATGAAGTGTTCAACATTGAATTCTCTTGAGGCTTCCAGAAGTAAAGTAGTTATGTTGACGTCACAAATTGTGTTCAGATCAGTAGCGAGATCAGCGGATGCTGAAGGGCCGAAAGCCGCTACAATAGCAGAGGAGTTGCACACGAACGCATCAAACCGCAGACTTACAATCTCCCGCATTATCTTAAAAATAATAAAAATAATTAAAAATAATTAATGATAATGATAATAGGAATGATATATATAATAAAATAAAAATAAAAAGACAATAAAATCACCATCGTTGATAAATTATGTCCATTAGTCTCTACAAAACTCACATAATCATGAACAAAAACATTAACAACAACAAAATTATCAACAATTATATACGAAAATAATAATAATAATAATAATAATAATAATAATAATAATAATAATAATAATAATAATAATAATAATAATAATCAATGATAACATTAAAAAATGTTAATAAAACTACTACTACTAATAACATGAATATTATTATATTTAAAAATAATACTGTAAAGTAACAACAATATACATAAAGCTTACCCTATTCAGATCATCTGAAGTCAGACTACCGTTTTTTTGAAGGAATGATAGTTCATCTAACAGTCCGAAAACGCCGTCAATAAACTTTCGGAGTTCAGGAGATTCTTTTAAAGAGAAAGTAAATGAGTAAACATTTCACAACGGTTTTAAATCCTTATTTGGCAAAAAAGAAAAAAAAGAAAAAAAAAGCATCTACTCGTTTATCAAATCCAGTAAATAGGGTTATTGCTCCAATTATCATAATGGTCGGCATTTATGCTTCCTATATTACCCAGACCATTGAAATCATGACAAACATAACAAAGGGCATCCTCCTTTGCTTAAGAAACGAATTAAATTAATTTATGGATGTCAAGCAAAAAAGATTATTAAACTGGAATACCTTCATCAATGCATGATGTACCGCATCCATTTGGGCAACAAATACGTCCCGTCGCACACTCTTTGTGCGTTTCACACTCTGTTTCACATGTTTCAACTGTATCAGAATCGACCTCAGGGCAAGCATCGGACAATTGTTCTAGTTCACAAGTGAAAACAGTTAATATTACAAATAATGCAATGATTAAATTTAAGCTACAACAATTGTAAAATTTAGCCAGACATTCGGGAAATTTAGCAGTTTTTATGAAGGTGATTTAGTATTTTGCTTTACATGTTATACATTATTCGATTAATTGGTTGACAGATCGGTCTGCATTTGGTCTGTTGGTTAGTAGGCCCGAACATTTCCCACCTATAACATATTTCTAGATGCTTAGTATTCTGTTTTAAATTTTTGAAAAAAAAATACCTCTCAGAACATTGATCATATCATTCAAATTGACGATGATTGAATTTAAGTTGTAAACAAACTCTGGATCGATTTGATAAAAGCTACTGTTCAGCCCGGTTGTCCAACTTCCATTCAAACTATACGAAGAGAAGAGACGGCTGTTTATCGCTGATATTGTGTCCACATTGATAGTAAATATTTTAGTTATTTTAACTAGCCAGGGTTGCTTAACACTGGCGGTATAAGCAATGTGTGTTGAGCTGGACCAAGGAGATATCTGAGTTCCTAATACTGTCCTGCTCCTCTCCCTATTTTTGAATATCCATTTAAAAAGTTGATACATAAAGCTTGTATGTTAAGTTATGACATACCTTTCACAACACACAACACAGTACTTTGGAAAAAATAACAGAGGGTCTGGGATGTACTGCCAAACCTCCCAGGAGTGGCGCTGCATTTAGGCACTACCGGTCCTTGTGGGAGGGGCACACCAAATTTCTTATAACTCAAATAGGACCAAAATAACCAGTGGCGGATTCAAGGGGCGGGGGGCGGGCAACCAGCCTACCCATCCCACCCCTAAATTGTTCGTAATTTAACAAAAAGAGAGATAATTAAAATTATATTCAAATATCAAGTATGAGAGTGCGATTTACCTTCATATAGAGGTGCCATATTAATCACAAATGTTCATACCTCAGCCCATCCATGGGGGGACTGAGGTGGTATAGATCCTCCATCTGTGAAAGTACCTCCCTATGCCCCTCTATTTTGAATTTCTGTATCCGCCACTGATAACTTTAGACCTACTATACTTTACTTTGATAATACTAACATCAATAATAATATTAATTATGATGATCATAATGAGAATAATCATAATGCAATAATAATAATAATAATAATTATTATTATTATTATTATTATTATACAACAATCACATTAATATTGTATTTACGTTTGATTTAATAACTATGAGAAAACTTGCTAATTATACAAACATTTATGTCTAGATGTAAATCCCTTAAATTGTCGATATCTATATTTTAGTCTGAATACTATGAAACCAGCAAATGAATTAGTCTAGTCAAAAAGTAACACACCTTTGTTCTTTAAACCAATCATGAGTTGATTTGTTAGTAAATAATATTTCGATAAACGTTTGCACTATATCGTCGTCCATCATTGATTTCATTGATTTGAGGTCAACACCGAATATCTCGGGAAGATCAGAACGTTCAGTAAAGTTGAATAAGCTACGTAGAATTATTCCCCAGTCAAGGCCATCTTCCATATTTGACAAATATTCCTTGGTCTATAAAATAATAACAAAAACGGTAATATATTGGAGATTATAATTAAATATATACATTTGAAATACATTTTTGTCTGTACGCTTGTCATCGAATATTTGTTAGTATACATTTTACATTAATCCTAGGCCTACTACTTTGTAACTTATCATACAATCACCATACATTCTAATGTTATGTGTGGCAAATAAAACAATCGGTTACATATTAATTAAATGTTTAAAAATATTATTTGTTAAAAGAGAATTATATATTAATTTTGACTACTTGAGATTCTGAAAATAGATAACATATGGTACTATTTTGAAATCACAGAAAAGGTATTTACAAATCTAATTATCAGTTACCGAATGTTAAACCAATAACCAAAATAATATACTTATAAAATTTGTGTATTGTAAAACAATCTCAATAAATGATATCTACCTCTTTTGCAATGAGTACTGCATCCATTCCTGAAATAAGATCTTGCCAAAATTGAGTGACGTTAGCCCTACAAAAATCTTGTTGAATCCATGTAACGTTCACTTTTGGATCAAACTCTAGGAAATCTGTAAGGCTTAAACTACCATTGCAAAAACTCTGTGACGTAAGCCAACTGCCGTCTTTTTCAATTAACTCTAGTAGCTATAGACAGAATGAATAATTATTACAAGATAATATTAGAAGGTTTGTAATAATATAGAGTTGAACCATAACCAGTAAAAACTTGACCAATATACCTTTCCCCCTTTTTTTTTTCGAGCAACTCTAGTAGTTGTAGAAACAGAAATGCATGCTAAAAGAAAATATTTGACAAAGTGTGTTGGGTTCAATTGTAACCCGTCAAAACATGACCAATATGTCTATCACCTTCTTCCATGTAAGCACAAATATGGAACCAGATAGTCTGACATTTTAACTCATTAGAATTAGAACAGGTATAATCATCATTCAGTCTAGTTATGAAATTAATTTAAAGAATATAACGTAACTCACATAGTATTGTTCATGCATAATGTAATAGTGTATCCAAATCAACGGTTTCGTGCAGAATTATTGAATGAAAAAATTGCTAAAAAAAAAACTAACAATTACTTACCGAATGAAGATTTATCGATGCGTTCATAAAGGCTTGTAAAACATGATGTGCTTCGCCAAAGTGTTCTTCTAGGATTGTCTTTAACCTATTTTCTCTAAATAGATCTTCCAATTCTGTAGTGTTTCCTTTTTTTAGAAAACATGTAACATTAATTATATTTATAAGTCAATCGTGACGCCATCACTGCAACTTCCAATGTTAATTGCCTATTCCCCACCGTTCAATAATTTTTCAATTAATGGACGCTTAGATTGATTTTTTTTAGGTTCGTGTGCAAAAAAAATTCCTCATTAATTTTTATCGTCACCGCGAAGACATCGTACACCGCGATGAAAAATGTAATTGAAAATTACTTTCGTAAAACAAGCTTAATTAGAACCCCAAGAAAGTTACTTCAAATTCAATATTAAGTGTGAACAATTAAGGAATTCATTGAATAAATGGACCCTCATAAACACAACAAACTGAACGTTTAATAGGAATATTCTAGACCTATTTTAAAGACTCAAGGAACAAACTTAGATGTAGGCCTACGGCCAGGAAGGAGGCCGCCTAGGCCTCCTTCTACTACAGGCCGTATCCTAGCCTAGTTATGAAATCATCGCAGGATTTTACCTGTCTGCATGCACCGACTAAGAATTTCAGTGACTGTATTCTCTCTCGAATGCTGAAACGTTTGTTTCTTTGAGGAAAGCCTATCAAATTAGCATTCCAAGCAAGTTCATTCTAACACAGTACAAATTACAATGGTTATTCATCGTATCCTACTGTTCTGCTGATGTAGCTAATTAAACGCGTACTGCATGAGCAAATATCAGCATACCCACAGCTAAATATAAATATGCACACGTATACTGATCATATCACTACAGCAACCGATGACTGCTACAACAGTTGGTTATCAGAAACTAAAATTAAAAGACGGCGATTGACTTATAAAACAATTAGTAGAGCATGCATCTTACACTAATGGAAAATTATTATACTTAGGTTAGATTTAATGCATTCAAAAATGTAACCTTCGTATAATAATTTTCCTATAGTGTACTATGAGGAGTTCTACTAATTATTGCTCATTAGTTTCAGGTGAAATGCTAATATCATATTATAGATAAGCACTGCTTTTAAAGTGTATGGGGTGAAACGGTAAAACGTTGCTTCCAACTGTATGAATGGGTAAAAATACATTGCCTACACCGTCGAACAATCATGGTGTACCACTGTGTATGTATCCGTTAAGCTTATAATAGGAATAATGTTCCTTGAAAATTAGGTAGCCTTTTTTATATAGATAGGCCTATCGTATGAAGTCAGAAATGAAAAGTCAGTCTAACTGTACTTAAGCCAAATAACATCACAACACAATTTTAGATGGGGAGGGGCGGTTTTTTTGTTGTTTTTAATTCTACAATCAGTAATCAAATAAAATGTGTTAGAATTAATCATTTTCAATAGGCCTACAATAAATATTACACCAAGTTGGTGAAATTATTGTTAATTCACTTAAAATATGTATATACTTATTTTGATTAGAATTTCTTGGACAATATTCATTTTTTTTAATAAAAAAAAAATTCCCGCCTCTAAATTTTTATTTTGCTTGAAAATTCAGGTGGGGGTGGTGACGCTAAACAAGTATATATTTGTTTGCCTATCAATACAGTTTCCACCTACTTTTTTCTTCGTTTTCATATACAAAATCCAGCATAGACATGACACTATCTTTAAGATCCAGCCACCAACCTTCATCGCCGAACCATCTATCCATCAGCGTAACGGAACGCATCATTCTGAAATTGATTTTGGCATTAAAGCAATTTATAAACTGATGATTTTAAGTCTTATTTTTATATAGAATACGTACAGACCTACTTGCTAGTAGGTGAATTGAGACATTTTTTATTTTATTTTTTAAGTGATAGTTCTTACGATTTGAGGCTGTAATTTCTGCTCTAGCCATCCTTGCTTTTAAATGTTTGATATGAATGTTATGGAGTTCCAGTTCAAAGTTTTGATGAGCTGTTTAAATTTTAACCATAAGCCAAACTATGACGTAAATTTGTCACTCGTCACTTTAATAATAGGGAGCTTTCGACTGCACGATGCGGTAGGGCCACTGATCTCTACTATAAAAGCTGGATTGCTCATCGGCCAATCCTGGTACAGAAAAAAGTGAGGCCTCCGACGCCATGTTGGAGATCCTAAGTGACGTACCAGTTTAGAAAAGTTTCTTTTGGCGTTTGTTTAAATTATAGTTAAAAATAACGATTCTTGCAATACTTTTCAATAATAAATTTAAATTTAACGTAGGATTTTTTTTTTTCAAACCATCTAACCACTAGACGCGACTGTTTATGCAGTTTTCAAAAGCGCGAGCGAAGTCGCGTTGTTTTAGTGACGTCGATCCCTAACAACGCAAATAACTTCGCTGGTGCATAAAAAGTCACATCAACAAATAAATGATAATAATCATTACAGTACTTTAAATTCAAATTTATTATTAAAAAGTTTTGCAAGAATCGTAACAATAATTTAAACAAATGCCAAAAGAAACTTGTCTAAAATAATACGTCACTTAGGACTCCCAACATGGCGTCGGTGGCCTACCTTACTAAAACCAGCCGATGAGCCGTCACTTAGGCCTCCCAACATGGCGTCGGTGGCCTACCTTACTAAAACCAGCCAATGCGCAATCCAGCTATTATAGTAGAGATCAGTGGGTAGGGAGTAGAACGCAATGACGTCAATAAAAAGTCATATGCGCATGCGAGAACGTTAAGTTCTTCTCGTCGAGTGGATTCTAGGACGCAATTTGGTCAAATCTACCTTGTGCAGAAAAAGTTGGACGTTTACGCATGTGTGAAATCCGTCCTAGAGTCGCGTAGTCGCGCATATCGAAAGTTCCCTAATGCCGCGTTCCAGTACACCCGTATGTGAAAACAATGAAAAGTATAGTGAAAACTGTGGAACGCAGTTACTGATTTTAATGGCAATCGTAACGACGTGCCATAATGTTCACAGGTGTACTGGAAAGTTGCATAATATCAAACTCTGCATCCCGTCTCCACAGATTTCACTTACGTCTCGTAGTTGACTTCAAATTCACCACTTTGAATGTCTTCAACGACTTTCATAACGTCTCGTACCGCAATTAACATATCATATGAAGCCGACGCCTCTTTGATAAACACCTGAAGTTCAGGAAAAGCATCCAGGTTTTCTAAAACATTAATGGCGTCCTCAATGGCAGCGATCCAATCGTACCAATCGTTGCCTGAGACTGCTGACGTGAATCTTGCAAACTATTGGAACGTAATGAATAAAGGCAATGTATACATACACTTTTTCTATTCGTAAACTATTTAAAACTTTTAAAAATCTAATTAAACATTGAATAGTTCATTTAAATGGATCGAACACCCAAGCTATAGATTTCCAATGATACACAGATCGAAATGCTAATTTACATAATTAGTTTTTATTCCAAATTCTTTAAATTTGTTGATTGACATTATGGAATGCTCTTCCTATTGAAAACAAAACCTCATCTTATGTCAGTATCTTAAAGAAAAAAATAAAAAGTTTTTTGAAATAAAAGCAAATTTTTTTTCTTTAATTTTATTATTCTTTCATAATCATTAATTAACCTTATAGTCAATGTGAACCAGGGGTGGCGCCAGCGGGGGGACCAGGCCCCTCCCCACTCCCTGTCGGGGAGAAAAAGCACAATTCGTCAGGGAGAAAAAAATATAAGGCCTATATGTAGACTCTAAAATCGATTAAATAAGCCTTTGAAACCCCTAAATTGTCGCAATTTTAGGGGGCCTTGCCCCAGGACCACTTTCGGGAACTTTTAATCGAAGCTCCACCACGCCCACTTTGCTTTCGTTGGGGAAATCTGACACCTCGTCGGGGGCACCGGCTCCCCCTCGTCGGAGGAACCGCCCCCCCCCCCTCGTCGGGGACTTCGGCGCCACCCCTGATGTGAACTTTAAGTAAATACCATTGTCATAGCGCCACTGAACATTGCATTCTTCCGTGGATATTGGCGATATATAAATCCTTGTTGATTGATTGATTGATTGATTGATTGATTGATTGATAGAAGACAATTTTATAAGGGTCTATGTATCACAATACTATAATACTAATACTCAATTCCTTAATTAGTGAGGACATATTTTGTTTAACCTCAGACCTTAAGACTAACAAAGGCATGATTATCTTTTTACTTATTAATATCATTCATCAACTTATAGGCCTTAAGTAGTTTAATTTTATTATCTTGATATTTTTTATGCGTCTGTTAATAGCAAACCTAAAAGGCCTATTTTCTATTTTTGTTTTGTTAGCTTTTGGAAGCTTAAAAATTTAATTAATTTTTTTGAAAGCTACATAAGTATAAGTATAGCTTTAATAACAGAACAGTGCCTGTACATTAATTGTTATCAAAACAGATTGTCCCAATTATTCCCTATGATTTGAACGAAAAACCAGCAGTTTACACACCTGTAAAAGGAGGTATTCTATGTTCAGCTGTTCCTGAAACTCTCCAATGATAGCTGGGATTGATGTGACGTTGATTCTACAAAGTTCCTTGGAAATTTGTCTAGGATCAGACCCGTATGGGAAACTCAGGTATTTCATCAATTCCGTCTCATTGCACGTGATGCGATAAAAATCGACGTATCCCGTCAGTTCCAATAACTATATTTATAGAAAAAAAAAATTATTCTTTTAATTAATAATAATTAATACTTTTGGAATACACTTTATAGTGTACACAAATTAATACTATGCCTCTACATAGTGCTGACTATGATTAGGGTGAAATTGTTGAGGTTTACATTGTATGTGCAAAGAGTGTTCTCATAGCAACAGTGTATTGACTGTGTACGTGTGGACGGATAAATTCTACCGAGTAAATATATCTGGTAGATTTTTGTTTTACAAATTTGGGTTCACTTGTACATTAATTATGTACGCTAATACCGTTTTACGCTCTCCTTTGTTAATCTAGTTAAGTTTCAGTTTGATTAAACATGACTGTCAAAGGTTTCGACTTTGAAAATGATGAGGAGGCGATTTTGTAGACGATGTGGTTATGTGGTTATGGTTATTTCTGACTCTGAGTTTACCTGATTGATGTTGATACTGGAATTTAAAAATGCATCTACTACATCCGGGTCAAGTTCTATTACATTTTCTAAAAACCATGCCACGTGTGATTCGTTCTTGAATAAATCTCCAACTCTGTAGTCAATATCTAAATTAGCAATAATGTAAGTAAAATTTAACACAGTTTAGACACAATTATGATATAAGAAAGTCCCTATAAGACCGTCGTATTGATTAATCTATCGAAAGGTAAATAATATTATTATTAATAATGATAAGGATGATGATAATGATGATGTCTTAAAGGAAATCATATTGATGATAATGCAAATGATAACTGCAATGATAATGATAACTATATTAAAATGATAATCATAATCATAAATGGGCTGTTAATGATAATGATACCGATGATGGTGATGCTGAATCTGGTATGGCAATGGTGGTGAAAAAGGAAAAGGTGACGACGATGATGATAATGAATCATGATGAAATATTGATGATGATTAGAAGTAAAGACATTGATGATAACGAAAAAAGGAAGACGAAGACGACGACAATGACAATGACATAAACGACGACGATGAGGACGATGATAATGAACATGATGATGATAATTACAAAAAACACATCCTAACACGTTTTTTGTGTACTTGACCAAGGCAATGATATCTCATCAAATGACTATAGATAATGTAAAAATTGATATTAAATAACAATAGAATATCAAAAGAAGACTGTTTATTCATAGGCCTACCTGTGATGTTTATGCCTGCTTCAAGGGCGTTTGCTAGGCCCATCAGTGTGTCTATGCTCCCAGATATATCATTTAAAGAATCCGTGACATTCTCGTTACTGAGAATCGGCTCAAGCGTATCGAATACTTGAGAGACACTGTAACAAAATGTTTTTGATACGAATTGAAATTAATATTTAAATGCTTGATATTTTTTCTCTCTCTTTCGTGGCGTAAGCACCACCTTTATTCAATGAATCTTCATTAAATACAGTATACTATTTCTTTTTATTTTAAAGTTTTTTTTTCCAAGTTCTTTTCATTATATTTGTGTTTTATTTATACCAGTTTCTTACCTTTGCAAATTTTATTTTTTTTATATTTCAGTATAATTCTATGACAATACTACTACTATCAAATTATTATTTTTTTATAATCTTTTTTAACAACAAAAAACATCAATAATAGTTTAAATTACCTTGCTCCTGCATAGCTAGGAACAGCATTGCTTTCTATAGTGCTACTGTTTCCTGGAATACAAGCCGTCTCAAGATCACACAAATACGACTGCATGAAGTTTACTGCTCCACTACTTGGCATTGCCTTTGCATTGTAGTAGCCTGAAGGGTAAAGTCAGTAAAATTAGGACACATTTTCTAAAGACCATACTGTTTTTTTTTTTAGGTGAAATGTAGGTATAACAACAGTATAGACACAAATAGCAACAGCAACAACAACAACAACAATATTTTAAAGAAGTTTATCGTTTACGAGGCAAAATATTACACGCACAAAAAAGTTTGACAACAAAGAAGGCGAGCATTGCTGAAGTAAATCGACATCTGCATAGACCCGATCATTGATATCAGGGAAAAGTTTAAACACGTGGAATTATTGCCTGAAGAATATATGTGTAAGTGTGTCTGTGTGTATCAGAATAAAAGCCCATGTATACCTACCGGTATATCTTACAAACAAATGAAACAGATTAAAAATTGAAACGATTGAATACGTTGACAGAGGCCTAAGACACATAAAGTTATATATA